TGTAACTATTGCAGTGGATTAGCATGTGGACCTCAGAGGGTTACAAGGACAACAAATTAGAGTAGATGTAACTCACAAGAGCTTTTCAAAATAATTTCCATGCATACTTGCACACCTGTAAACAGATCACATTGTTTGGTTAAAAGGAAACCACAGGTTTGGTTGCTTATGGAAATCGTTAGGATTTCCTTTCTTTGTTTAGAAAACTGCTAAGCTGGGTTATGTTAGAGCAGTACCTGCAGCATTGTTCCTCATGTAAAGAAGAAGCTATAGCGATGGGGAAAGATTACCCATAAAAGAAGGAAAACGGGTAAATAGGATCTATAGCTTAAATGTTTTGGCTAATCTCTTTTAGACTGATAAGAGCTAATCAGCAAGCAAACATGTTTCCAGAGTGTCAGCAGCATTTTGCGTCATATTTGTGGATGTACCCAGTGTACTCTCTGCTCCACTCAGTATGTGTCACAATAAAACAGATGCAGACACGTGGACTGTAGGAGAAAAGAGACAGGTAAAATGAATATAACTCGACTTGACAATCAATCGTGACATTGCTGTAAGTGTAATAAAAACTTACTGAAAGAGTGTTAGTGTGCGTTGATGCTTGGCTTATAAAGACAGGTTTCTTTTTTAGGTTTTTTTTTTTTTACCAATATCATCTTGCTGGCCAGTGCACACCAGGCACTGAGGTTTTAATGTCCACTGACTTTTTTTTCTCTTGTGATCTGCTGCAATAGGACCTGCATTATAGTTTAAGTACTTTCCTCAGCATTGTGGATGAGTGCTGTGTCGCTACATGTAACAATAAAACTTAAAGGGGAACAGTAGAGTGGGCTGAGAAAGAATTGGTAAAGCAGGGGAAGCTTGGCATAATTATGCATATATAATCATAAAGTGAGGTAAATGTGCAATGGGAGTGCAAACTTTTAGCTTTATTTCAAGGCGTTTAACAAAAGCTTTGCCTAAAGGGTTAGAAGTTACACCCATTTTCATGTTTAGTCCTCAAAGACTCAAAAGTAACTGGACAACTGACTGACAAGCATTTTCCTGGCTGGCCAAAGCTTGTTACCTCATTATTCCAGAATAAATTGAGTAGATAAAAGATCTGGAGGAGATTCCAAGTGGTGAACTTACCTTTAGTAGCTGCTCCTGGAGCTCTCAATGCTATCAATGCCAAGTCCAGAGGGATGTCAAAACAAATAGTGCATGATAATAGAATTATTTCTCTTGTTAAGAAACCTTCATGAAAGGTAAGAAGAGAAAAGTGTGGGGGAAAAGAAACACAGCTCATACTTATATGCCATGCATGGCGGAGTCAGTTTTATGGCATGGACATGTATGACTTCCTGTGGAAGTGGGCCACTGGTGTTTATCGATGCTGTGATTGCTGATAGAAGCATCAGGATGAATTGTGAAGTGTACAGAGCTGTACTCTCTGCTCAGATTCAGCCAGATGCTCCAAATCAAATCAGACAGCACTTCACAGTGAAAATTGATAATGACCCAAAGTATACTGCAAAAGTAACCCAAGGGTTTCTTAAGGCAAAGAAATGGGCCAGTCACGTGATCTTAACCCAACAGAGCATGTTTTCAGTTATTGAAAACAAAAATGACGTCATAGTGACTCACAAACAGCCGCAACTGACGGCAGCTCCATAAAGGTCTGGCAGACTTCAGACAGTCATTGACTGGAAAAGACTTTTTTCAAGTATCCAAGTATCAAAAAACATCCTTAGATTTTAAATTATGTTAGTTTGTCAAATTAGGTTTGAGTCTCTGGAAATCAAATCTTGATAGATTGAAAATCCACCGTGGTTGTGTGCCAGTGTTGTGTCCGCACGCAACAGACAACTTAGAGAAGAGCAAAATTCATTTTGTATAATAAATTAAATTTTGTATCTTTGTTACTAGCAGCCTGTTGGAAGAATGCATCATTTGTTCCAATTTCTTTACTTGAATCTATGAAAAGTCTCAAAGATAACCCAGCTTGACAGTAACAAAACAGCGTTTTTGCACTAACAACGTGATTCCCAAAGAGCTATTAGCCAAAAACTGTGGCATATCTCAGCATGTATGAAGTGTGTGCTTAAAAGATTTGAGGAAACTGGACAAGTAGAGGATGAAAGAAGTGTCAGGAAAAAAAACCTACATCCAGCAGATGAGCAGTATCTGAAAGTCATGTCTTTCACAAATACGAAAAATCCTGCAAAGGACCCTTTAGCTGATCCACCTACTGTTCACTGAAGCCTCATCAGAAATGGTCTCAAGGGAAAGGCGTCTGTCAAGATGCCAGTCTTCAGTAAGAGGGGCAGGGAGAAAAGGCTGATGCATGCCAAATTACACAAGAACTGGACTGAAAATCAGTGACAAGAGGCCATGGATTGGCCTCCCCAGAGCCTGGACCTCAACATTAATGAAGCAGTGTAGGATCATCCTGACAGAGAACAGAACAAAGGTCAGCCAACACTCAAAGAAGAGCTTTGAATGTCCTTCAAGAAGCCTGGAGAACTATTCCCGGAGACTACTTCAAGAAATTACAAGAGAGATTGCCTAAGAGAGTTCAGGCGGTGTTGAAGAATAAAGGTCGTCATACCAGATACTGACTTTCAAGTTTGTTAAATTGTATAAACGCTGCTTTTGTCTTATGTACTGTATTTCAATGTACCTGTTTCACATGTTTCTCATAAAATGAAAACAAATGACTCAAGACTTTTTCACACTCCTGTAACTGTGTCTCATTTTGATGGACAGAGATTGCCTGGTGATGCACTTTGTTTATGTCACAGTGAGCAAAATCTGCAAATTGATTTAAAAAAAGAATCTTGGGTATTTGCCTTGCTCTTTAACAGTGATATGATGCATAATTGGCTAATCAGTGTGACGCAGTGATCAACCTTTCTTCTTTAAGCTCTCTCTCTTTATTAACCTTTTGTTTCAAACAAAATGTGACGCTATTATAAGACGCCTTAGGGGACAAGAAGAGAAAATAAACAGCACAGGTTCAAAAGAGCAGAAAAAGCAGAGAATGAAAAGTAGAAGGTGGAAGCAGAGGGAAGAAGGGTGACCAAGCCATCCGTCTGTGACTCTTTGGTGCCGTAGTGAATGCTGTCATTTTCCCTCAAGCCCCTTTAGTCACTCATCTGTGGCCGACCTTGCGCTGCCATGTGGGCTGCTTCTTTTCTTCCACATCACACACACTGATTCGTTAGAAGCAGAATTGAACAGTTTTGTGTCATTTTGCTGCTCCTGAGCGAGTTGACGCCGCCTGGCTCTGTAAGACAGCTTGAGTGCTGAGCCAACATCCCTCGTGAATTCAGATTCCTATTTCTGCATCTGTAATCCTCCACTGACGATTTAAATTAGTCAGACATCAGGAAAACTATTCAAGCTTAGCTGCCTCAAAGCACAGCAGAATGCAAAAGCTGGACAGTCGACCTGTAGATAAATGTGAAACATGCCGGTGATATTTACAAATACCGAGCTACACATGTGTAATTTTTTTTAAATATTCCAGTAACAGTGCATCACATCAAAAATGTGTCACATTGACATCTCGGAGCCTCCCTGTGAGATGAACTGCTCAGAGTTTGTTTGCTGGGTGGAAGTTGTGCTGGGAGGCTGTCAGAGCTCATCTTGGCTGGGGTGACATGTGCTCAGGCACCCTTGCACTATCACGGAACTGCATCTCCTCTTTCCTGATGCTTATCAGGTCCCCCAGGCGTTTTATAAAGAAGAATCCTAGCTTTGTTTACCATTTGTTCTTCCTCATTGCACATTCTCCCCAATCTTTAAATCATTTAGGGTCTAAAGGGCGATGCCCAGAGCTTTAAATGTCCTAGTCTGATAGGCATATGAATGCAATGGTAAGAAATAGTTAATAAACAGTCGTGTTTGACAAAGATCTGCCAAAAAGCTATGAGAGAATGTTTTTCAAACAACAAGACATGCTTTGTTGCATTAACAAATAAAAACCCATTGTGATATACTTGCTTTCCCCCCTCGTTTCTTCAATTATAACCGGAAGAAAAGCTTCCAAAATTTGATCCACCGCGTCATTGCTCAGAAGATGAACCCGAGGGTGAAACAGCATCACGGTGAATTAATAAGCCAGTGAAACTGAGGCTGAGATGCTCACTCAGGCTGAAGAAGAAGTACGAGGTTTGAGTTAGACTGAAACTGAAATGTGTTTTCGAATTGGCACCTGCCCCAGTTTTAATACTCTTGAGTCACTACCATCCAAATAAGAGCATTAAGGCTTTGGTAATTGATCCATAAAACAGCTTCTGTTTAAACCTAAAATTAGATTAAGGATTCTATTGAACGGAAATAAAACCTTGAGGCTTTTCTATCATTATTACTGTATTTAAGACCCCAAAGACACTGTGGCCATAGAAAATACATTTATTTCATTATCACCATGGTGCTGACATACTCGTAATTGTTCTGTGCAAATAGGCAGTGAGTCATTCTCGTACACGTGATATACACATGCTGGGACTTGGCTTTAAAAGTAGGTCCCTCACCCAAAGAGCATCGGACCTTAAGTGTGCGTGAAAGATTTTGAGAATCTAAGAAAATAATTTTCACAGCTGGCCACTATCTACAATCTGAATGTTCTCAGTAATTTGTTCTTTCTGCATTTTCCCCCCCCCCAGTTTGTTAATCTGTCTTAAAACTCACTATTGAAGACAAAATACTTATAATTATACAATCGATGTTTGTTCTCAACAGGAGTGCAAAGTATCCAGTAAGCTGGAAGGAATATGATGGCAGCGGTGTCCTCACCAAACACAAATGCATCTTTACAACATGAAAAAGAAACAGATCCTGAAAAGGCACTCTGTGAATCACAGGACACATCCACGTTCCCGGTAAAAGTTCATACATCTATCTCCGCCACATTATTGTTTGTTATGGCTGGTGAAGGCTTGCTCTTCAGTCCCTCTGTGGCACATCTTGAAGTTTCCGCGAGGAGCAAACGAGGAACGCAAAGAGCGAGGAGAATGGTCTTGTACTCTTTGCGGAAATTTTGGTTGAGCAGTCCATATATGATGGCATTGAGGCAGCTGTTGAAGTACGCCATAAAGTAGCTTGTGACAAAAAGCCACTCGGGTATGTTGGGTGCAACCTTCGGAGGATTTATGGCCACAGCCAGGCCTATGAGGTTCAGGGGGGCCCAGCACACGGCAAACAAGACAAACACCATAAACATAGTCAGGAAGTTCCTCACATCACTAGGTTTCAGTTTGGTCCTTTGCTCCGGTTTAACTCGGTGTTTCACCTGAATGACGAGCACCCATATCCTCATGTAGCAGTAGGACACCACCAGCAGAGGGATCAGAAAATGAATAATCACCACTGAGATAGTATAGTACGAGCTGACGGTCTGAGCAAAGGTGCAGGAGTAGATGCGAGGGTCGTACTGCAGTGAACCGACGAAGAAGTTGGGAATAGTGGCGATGGCGGTGAGTAGCCAAGTAAGACCCAGGTAGCAGAGCGTGTTCCTCAGGCTGTACAGACGATCGTAGTGGAAACTGTGACAGATGTAGCAGTAGCGATTGATGGCGATAGCCGTGATGTTGAAAATGGAGCCGATAACACTGAGGCCCATGATGAAGCCGCTGACCTGGCAGTGCAGGTCACCCATAGTCCAGTCATTGTGAAAGATGGCTGTCAGGACCAGTGGGTAGGGGTACAGCGCCACCACCAGGTCTGCCACAGACAAACTCACCACAAAGATGTTGCCTAAAGAAAAAGAAAAAAAGGAGGTTATGAAAACTGACAAAATGTGACCAAAAGAGAAGGTAAAATATGCAGGATCATGTTTGTAACTTTGCTTATTGGGACAGTGGAGGCTTGACTGTGACTTTCCCTTGATTAATAATGTGTTTCATCAGTAAACAGGGTTTTTCTCCTTAATCTAACCATGTAGTTTTAGCATTTTAGCCAAACAAAGAGTGATAGAAAAGGTCAAATCCACAACCAAAGTCAAATAAAAGTGCATAAAAGCAGCGATACATGCATCTGGTTTTTGCACATTCCCCATGTTAGGAAACCTAGCTAGAGAGGTATCCAGGTGCACTGGGAGTTAATGCTTAAGGGGTATAACCCTTCATGCATGAAAACATGATCCTGATGTTAGTATTTCATGAGCTGGGAGCAAGAATCTCTACATCCTTTTCATACTACATTATTTTTTACTGCCCCAATCTGGATCCAGGCCCATACTGAATTCTCTGTGTATGCTAATGCTGTAGACGAGCGGTCTAAATGGGTCCAGCTGGAAATATTTTAACTACTAGGAAGCTGATTGCTGTGAAATTTGTCACACTGCAATATTTCCTTATTGGCACAAAGAAGTTCGCATGCATTTTCGGTCATTATATTAGGTACACCTGTTCAAATGCTAGTAAATATAAATATACGGTCAATGGCAGCAACTACATCTACACATTTAGACATGGTCAAGAAAACTGCTGACGTTCAAGCATCAGAATAGAAAAGAAAGGCAATTTTAATGATTTTGATGGTGTAGTGGTGTAGTTCTTGACACACTTAGTGCCCTTTAGTGCCAACTGAAAATCATCAAAATACCACAGCCTACCTGATTATTGTTGCTAACCATGTCTTTCCCGTTATGAGCACAGTGTGCCATCTTCTGAAGGCTGCTCCCAGCCATAACGTTCCATGTCACAAAACTCAAGTCATCTCAACTGGTCACTAGAGCTCAATCCGGCAAAGCACCTTTGTGGAACAGGGGATTTCTATCCTGAATCTGTGGTGCTATCATGTCAATATGAACTAACTAAACTAAAATGTTTCCAGAACCTTGTTGAATCTATGCCACAAAGCATTAAAGCAATTCTTAAGACAAAATAGGGTCCAAAGCTGTACTAGCAAGGCATTCCCGAGTGTATATAGTTTTTATTTTAACAAATATTCGGTGAATTCTCTGGATACTCATGTCCCTTGCAAAGACAAATTATAACTGACTTGGAGCACCATCATCACCTCAACCTATTTTGTCCTGTACTTTGATTAAGCCCAGATTTAGTCAATTTAGCTAGTGTGAGCAAAAGGTTATCTCCCTATGGGCAGGTCCATCCCAATAATATGCTCTTCTCACTATAATGCTTCCTCGCTCCTGGGAAAATGCAGTCAGATACTTAGAACGCAGTTAAAGTACATATCAACAAGGACGCGGGTGGTTTCAGGGTCCGATTACATCCAAACAAGCCCCCATCCTCCAGAGGTCAGTGCTGATTCTGGTGTGACACTGGATCTCCTCAGATGACATGAGTTATAGAAAATGACATGTGATGTTGTTACAGTGCAGCTGTTCTGGGTGGGGAAGAATAAAATAATAAATCAAATTGTAAAGTCAGATAAGAAGACAGATAAGAAAAAGATACGCTGACGCCATAATGCAATTGTGTTGGTTTTGCAAAACAGGGAATAACCTCGTGTGAGGTTAAAGTAAATGTACAATATGTTAAAGACAACATAAAGCTGTTGTTTTACAGCCAATAGATCGAGTTGGTCAATCTTTTTAGAGATTAAGCACTTTAGTGTATGTTAAAATGCTGGGTGACAACTTATGAAGCCAGAATGTAAAAGGAGCAAAGCTCTTGCTTGCTCAGGCAACAGCTGAAACAACAGCGCTGGAAGTGGATTTGAAACACATGTGGCCATCAATCCGCATTCAGGTCCTGTTGTAATCTCTGCACGCCAACACGGCCGCGTTATGTTGTTTAGCAACCACTCCTGGAACTTTATTCAAACGGTGTGCTAACGAAGCAGACAAAACAAACAGGGGCACAGAACATTTAAAGTTTCATGAAGAAGAAAATCAGATGGTTGATCTCCCGCCAACCTGGAGTTTTTACAGACAAGTCAATTTTCCAAGTCACTAAAACGGCACCAGCCGTCACTCAAGCCTGCTGGGACAAAAATAAAACGCATTTGTTCTTCATCCTTGAGTCAGCTCAGTGGGCAAATCTGTCAGATTGCATTTGTGATGCTCCCACTGCTCGCTCTGTGCTCTTGTCATTGTGCAGAGGTTTGATTCCTCGTTGACATCACACGGCTCTTCCGTGTGTGTGTGTGTGTGTGTGTGTGTGTGTGCTGGCTGGACGGGGCACGGTCCGGCCAGCTCACTCTGGCTGAACCCTCTTACTCGCTTATCATCAGAAGGATGAGGTAAGTGCTAAAACACCGCTGAGAGGATCACTGTGGAGCCGCCAGATGACTGTCTCTGTTTTGTTGGCATCGATTATTCAAACCCTGGACGAACCATTACCTCTCTACCTCGGTTTAATTAACCGACTTGGCCGGCGATGATGCTCATGACACCCAAACTCACAGCACTCAAGACCGCTCTGTCAAACAGAGATGTTCACACACGGATACGAGAACGGAGTCGACGTCTTTGGGAGCTATAATTACCAAGTGTTGAATAGACCTTAACCTGAATGCTGATTGGTTACAGGCCATTAGGGACAGCTGACACGCAGCCTTCGACTTGTCTGACACCGCTCGCTCTGCAGTGATCTGATTTTGCAGTATGCGCGCACAAAAAAACTTGTTAAACAAGCGAAACGTTGCATCAGATTAACTGAGACTTCTGTCCCGAGAGAGCCGCGCAACCGCCCAGTGAATTTCCCCAGTGTGAGACTCTGTCATATTTTTCTGGTGAATGAAACATAAATTAAAACAGCGCATCACAGAGCACAGTGTCAGAGAGAAACTGGATATTTGTCATCGCTTCGTTCCAACCTGGCGGTTCAGAGTAGTAAAACAACGTGGGAAATAAAACAAAAATATCTTATTTATTTTTTTAAAAAAAGAGAGTGTGTGTATGTGTCTGGGGGGTGAAGCTGGAGCAATACAGAGTTACATTATGAAGATGCGGGCAAACGCAAGCAAACAAACCGCAAGACAAAACAAAAAGGGCTGCCGGTCGATTTGGTTTTCAATCTCACTGCTACGCATGTGAATCTCTGGGGTGCGTGTTCCTATTTCAAATCCACCATCTGTACCCCATCACTCTCACTGCTCATACTGGAAACTTGATTTACTAAGCTTTAATTCACCCGACTATATTTATACACCTTCTGAGGAATTCACCAAGACATGCAGAAGGGTTTGGCAGTGCCTGAATCCATCTGAATGTCAGCAACGCAAGACTTATTACTGCCAGAGCATACCCTGAATATAATTGCATTCAACTTAGTAAGTCGTAATCATAAATAAGCAAGAATAACCTTTTGGCAAGGACACGGGCGCTGATGAATTAGTGGCGACTTCGTGACCTCGTTTTCATGAGGCTTTTCTGGCCAGAGAGGCCCCAGAATGAAACTTAACATTAAACTGACATGAGCTGCCTTTTGGTGATACAGCCCGCTATGAGCCTGGTCAAAACCATCATCATCATCATCATCATCATTATCATCATCATCGCCAGAGCCCATCTACCAATCACAGCCCGTATGTCTGAGATAGGAAAAAACGCAGCTGCCTGGAGTTGAAAAGGGGATAACAGAGGATCACTGGTACACAAACATCGTCCAGTGCAACAGGATTTCAAGGTAGGGTGAAAAGTGGTCATTTTCAAGAAGCCTCTTCCTGTCCGAGATGGATGAGCTGCAAATATGAGATTACATTTCCAGGTGTGGCTTAGCAAGATAATAATAATCTAACAATGCCCCACGACCATGCTGGAAAACTTAATATCATCTGCTCGGGGGGCATGTTTAATGGAGCGTGCTAAGTGATATTCTCCGTGGATCTGTGCTGTCAATTTGAGTGGGGTTCTGGTTTGACTCACTTAAGTCCACTGACTCAATTAAACCCACCCACCCCTACTCCTGTGGACGCTGAAGTGTCTAGGTTTTATTCATGACTGTGGAGCAGCTGAGGGGGGTGAAATGCATGATTTAACAAAAACTCAAGTCCATCTTCAACTCTCACTACACCCCCCCACGACCTAGAGTTTGCACGGCACGGCAGGGCCCAAACTATACGCGCATGCGCAGCGTGGGATCTCTTCTTCCATCTACTTCCCTCTCATCCTTTTCTTTTTCCAACCCTCTTTCTCTCTCGCTCTCGCTCTCTTTCTTTCTGTCTGTGCCGCACTACTCTTTCTCTCTCCCGAAAGCATTTTGCGAGTGTATTTTTAGTATGGTTAACCCCCAGTGGAGAAGCGTAGTGTTAACACCCCATTGGCAGTCCTATAAGTGCCATGCTGTACACTTTGAGGATCTGGTGGATACGCCCTGTTACATTTGCGCACTTTGAAAGACCCCCTGGAAACCTGATACAAATGAAACATAAGGTACCAGATCTCGCCCCCAAGATGTTTCAGCACTAAGAATGTGAACCTCGTGTTTCCATGTACATGACTGTTTGTTTTTTGTTTTTGGGTGTGTGTTGAGGGGTTAAATGGTGGAGAGTATATCGAGGAAGCGTGCAAAGCGAGTGTGTTGAAATGAAACAGAGCGGAAAGGTCCTGCTGCTGCTGTGTGAGGAAGCAAACCAGCTGTCTGAATAATGTGTAATGGAGAGATGAGATAGGATGTTTTCACCACCCCGCCTGACACATCTATATCTGAGTGCGTGCTTTTATATATGTATGTAAACCTTAAACTTAAACTCCTTGCGAGGCCTAAAGAGTAAGGCTAAAGAGTGACGCTGCATGAAATCGTATATGCAGGCCCTGCGCAAACAAGCAAACAAGAAGGGGCCCGTGAATAAAGCTACAGCTGTTCTTTAGCTGTATCCATGCTTCCCTTTTGGAAACTGTACAATTAAACATTCATACAAAGCGAGCCAAACCTATAAATAGCTTGTTAAGAACAGAGAGGAGATTGTTGATAGGCTGACGGCAGCAACAATTTCAGTCACTTAAGGACACACGTGGAAAAAAAAAAAAGCAAAGCGATAGCAGGATGGGCTCTGAGCTTCCACTGGAGTTTCAGGTTTCTATTCATACATGCGAACAAACCGAGCAGCACAACCGTGGAGAGGACTCGCGTGTGACTAGATATGTCAGGGAGCCCAATTAGAGCAGGGGAACACCGACGCGAGGTCTGCAATCAGTGCAGTGCGCACGGTCCACCAGCCTAAGGTGGACTCTTGAACAGGCCATTTAGTCCTGGCCTGTTGTTTGAGATCAGTGGACTGTGCCATTATTTATTTATTTGTCTTTGCCAAGCAGATAATCAAATTATTCTCCGGGATCCTCAACTTCTTGCCAAAATGGCTTTGGGCTGCTGTAAAACGGGTATGTTATGTAATGTATTTGAAATTGTAATTAAAGCCTTGTTATCCCCAACACTGACCTAATCCCGCTGCCTCATTAGCATGCTGCCATTAGCATTTTGTTGTGATCGCAAGGTTTACTGTGTTTTCTCGCTCGGGCTCAGAGGGCGTCCTTCGCTTTTCTTTGAGCCGCGGAGCTGCTGGGTATAATTGCCTGGGTGCACGCTGCTTTCTCCTCCAGACCTTTAAGTTCAAAAGCAGCAGAGTATCAAATGCACCGCCTGCTCGTTGCTCTCTGGTATGTAGTCAGCCTCTGCAGGACATCTCGATGTTCTATTCTGCACTTTTTATTTTTAGTAGGGAAAAAAAATCACGAGATCCGGTCAATTAAAGCAAAATACGCTCCTGTGTCCACGCATCTGTTGCACAGCTGCCTCTCATGCCATAAACTCTGTAGGGTTTCGGGAGGTGGGTCGATTACTGCTCATGTGTTTCTATGCCACACGATATTGGCTACTATACAGCTTTTACAAGTTTATTTACAGAGAGACACGACAAACTAGTAATGACTGCCAACATTTACTAACAAGAGACTATTATTTGTCATCCAAGAAAAAAGTGGGAGCAAATCATGAGAATATATCTGCGTATCATCTTTTCATTTCCAAGAAGAAGGATGTACTAGTTCTTTGAAAAGTTTCTTATTCTGGCTGATTAATGACGGGGGAACTAAACCCTGCTCCTCCAGTGCTTAGATGAAAAGGCACCTTGAAGAATATTGGTGCGCAAAACATAAAATGCAACTCATTTAGTCCACTGGGTTATGAAAACAGATAGTAGGAGACAAACAGCGCCAGTCACTGGAGATGACCGGCTTCTCAGTGGCCATTAGAAACTGCAGGCTACAAGATAAAAGGGACAGCTGAAAGATAATGCTACTATTGCCAATGAGGAGAAGGGACACAAAGGTAGCCATGATAAATGTCAGCTTTACCTTCTCTCTGCTGTCTGAACATTTCAAATGTAGCCCACAAAGGATGAGGAGGAGGGTTGTGTGTGGCATGAAATGTGTGCAAAGCAACAAAGAAACCATACAACAGTGTCTCTCACCTTGGCTGCTCATCGACACCTGATATAAGGAGGGATGTGATTTATCAGGGATGGAGAAACCAGCAAGGTTACAGCCAAATGGAGGGGAGAGTGCGTGCCATTATTTATGAAGAGATATGAAGGCAGGCAGGCAGGCAGGCATGCAAGGCTGTGGAAACTCTGTCACAGTGAGGCTGGAGGTCCACTTCAGATACCAGTTTGATTGTCATGCAAGAGGGAGGGGGTGTCACAGGCCACACAGTGCATTACATAATTTTAGTTATGAGTGAAGGCAGGAAAGAAAGCTCACTGAGAGAGAAGTTGTTTTGCTTTGCTTGATAAATTCAGCTGGTAAAGGATTCACATGGGTTCTTTTATTTTGAATAGTTAGCATCAATATAAGGAATAACTTCCTGCAATCCTCTGTGCGTCTCACCTGGGTTCCGTAGCTTTTTGTTCCTGTACACGGACAGGATGACGAGGACGTTTCCCAGGATGTCTACCACGATGGTGAAGATCAGCACGCTGGCCAGCGCAGTGGACACTCCAGCCGAGGTAGCGCTCAGCCCGCAGTCGCTCTCATTCCGCAAACAGCTCGAACCGTTCACATCCTTCTCCTCTACGTCCATCTCCTCCACCGCCTCCTCAGGATGCAGCTGCCATGGTGGGCTTACAAGTGTTCAGATGAAAATTTAAAATAAAGAAGAAGAAGCACAAACCAAAAAGGCAAAATGACTTCACGGGAGGGAGTCTTGAACTTATTTGCGCATGAAACCACACTTCCCTGACTGTGGAGTACTAGGAGGCTGAGAGGACGCGAGTCCTGACATGGTCTTTAGAATAGTCACACGGGAAGTAAGGAGGTGAGAAAGGTTGGGAAAGCTCGAGTTTCACGGCGGCTCTGAGTGCGGTTAGTCACAGAGGCTCCTGCTGAGCGCCGCTCCATTCTGACAGGGTAGCTCTTCCAGGAGGCATGTGAGCGCTGTCCTGTGCGTAATGGAAATCCGAGGATGCAAAAGCGTGCGCGCACAGAGCAACACGGAGTCTGATGGCTCTGAGAACACTGTGAGCAACACAACCTCCGTTCAACTTAAATACTGAAGCTCATAACTTAAATAATAATAATAAAAAAAAATGCCAGAATAAAGACTGGGGTCTGTTTCAAAATCTATAAATATACTCTGCCTCCTGAACCGCTGTGGTGTGCCATTCTTGCTGAATAACAACTCGTGTGATCCAAATGGACACGCGGGCTGTGGAGAATCGTGGCCAGGGCAGTGCTGCTTACTTTCTAATCTGAAAAAATGAGGGACTGTGACTAGCATATTCATCGTGGAGCCAATGTGACACATGATTTGTAAGAACCTTTATTATGAGAGCATCCAGCGGATCGAGAGAACCTCCATGTGCATGGAAATGGCGCCTTCATGTGTCCAGAAGACATTCTTACAGTCAGATGCATACAGAGAAACAGTTAAACTTACACTCCTTGCGAGGCCTAAAGAGTAAGGCTAAAGAGTGACGCTGCATGAAATCGTATATGCAGGCCCTGCGCAAACAAGCAAACAA